TATGACACTTGGGAATTAGGCCATATGCCGTCTCCAATAAGATGCTCAAGATTTATTGATTGCATTTTAAGAGGCTATTAATGCTCAATAGGTCGTTCTGAATAAGTACGTATTTGAAGGAGGAAATCTTTTTGTGTTATTTTAAATAGTTTTCTTGATATAAACCAATTAAACGGTCTTTAAGGAAAGGAAAAGGATGGAAATAAATGCCGAGGTTTACATGAGATTATTAGACTTAAATCTAACACTTCGGTGCTCTTGTCTTGCAGGCATAAAAATGCGACGATTGCGAGACAAGTTAAGACTCTCAAGGGCAGCGATACAATACAATCCAAAGTGTCCATCTTTATCTATCTTTTTTTCACGTGCACCATTTTTAGATACTTGTGGTCTGTGGCAATGATATATGAATTATTTAATGTAACTGGTATCATGAGATAACGCAACGCGATACTCTAAACTTCGGTCCCTTATCATTTTAAGTGACGCTGTATTTTCTTTTCCCCCAAACTAACTATGAATTTGGTCTTGATCTGTCATATTGATCTTTACGGTTACAACTGTCATTTTTCATCACGTGACTAAAGAAATTCACTGAAATGTTTCACATTTGGCGAACTGTTTCTCTTAAGACCCCTCTCGCTGACCTTCAATGTCATATCCATCTCTTCCCCGTTAGACAATTAATTTTAATGTACCATATTAAAGTATTAAAAAAGTTTTGAATAACAAGCAGAATTTCGAAGTATTGTGAATTTGCTGTAAAAATGGAATATTTGTTTGATCACTTTAAGGTCAGAATCTTTGGGTCAGAGTCCAGAAAAGTAGTTAACCTTATCCAGACACAAACATCCCAGAGGGCAAACCTTCCTCACAAAACAATATAAAGTGGGCGTGGCTTGGGTGTGTCACATGAGCTTCTATTGTTTTTCGTGGACCTTTCTCCGGTCAGTGGCCGTGCGACCGTAATGTTTTACTGATTCTGCTTTGGGTAGTAATACAGTTGTGTAGCCCTATTTGTTCGTTTGTCTTTCTGTGTTGCAGCCAGGTCTGATTATTACATGAATTAGAACGCTGTCGATATATAGCTAACAACTAGCAACTTCGAGTTTCTTGTTTCTCTCTTCTCTTGCTTGAGCAGACCATGTTAATTATATCATTCTGCAAAGAAATTTAGTAGTCATAGATGCATGCAATGAAGCTTGGTTTGTTGCGCAAATGCCAATACATAGTTTGAATACTTCAATTGTCACACTGCAACTGTGGCCTTTTAGGAAATCGCTCCCATGCCCCCTAATGTCTCATTTTGATCTATTTTGCCCCATTTAATTGCTATCACTAATGTCGACCCTAACTTCTTTACAAACAACAATTTAATTGAAAGAAAAGTCTTAGCTTTGGTTGAATATATAATCCATCAAATATCGTAAAGCTTATGAGTTAACTGTTTAAACGGGATAAACGATACCTCGAATTGCTTACTGGACGTGTTTTTGCAAGCTCCAGCCCTCTAGGGTCATTGCGCAGTTTGAAGAAAAGGTGCGTGCAAACCTTGTGACGTCACAAATCAGAAACGGTGTCACATGCACTCTTTCGTCATGGGACCCCTAACAGGTATTTTCCAGTACATTTTCCAACTTATTTTGTTTTTGTTAGAAAAAGGGTATGCATACATTTTAATTTTGATCAAAAAAAGATCTCTAAGATTCCGTTTTATGGGCACTTTTCAAGGAAACTAATCTAGGGTGTCCCCCAGCAACTTTCTGTCTCTTCTGGCCTGTGTGAGTTTTCTTTATTTTAGTGGTTGGAGCCACGTTTTGCGTTTTAGCGAAGTTGTGTTTTCATAAGGGCGAAAGGGCAGTTTTCCTGGCCTAGTAAGCATGTGGCCAGAGAGAACCGGTATCCAAATCATGTTTGTTTTGAGAATAGTAGCAGATCTTAAGAACTTTTAAAATTTCCCACAGACGACCGGAATAAATCACAAAACATGGTTAAATCGGTATAAATACATGTGTCTCGCATCTAGTGATCAATTTAGTAGTTATCTCCGGTTTTACCAAGATGTGTCCGGTTTTGTTGTGTTTCTTAAATTAAACTGAAAATCGAGTTAGGCGCGGAACACAATAGGAAACACCTTGCCAGAAAAATTTATATCTCCGGAACATGTTATATGTCTATTAGGCATCACAAAAGCGGCTAAAATTATTCTTATTTGGATATTTCGAAGCAACAAATAATTGATCCGGTTAGCATTGAATAGCAAAGTCAACTGTTTCATTAGAACTTGACAACATTCGCTTTGTGGCCAGTTGGTTTTCAATCACATGTTTTGGCTGCTGATTTGTGATTCTGCCGTCGGGGCAGCATTTAGAAAACTCAATTGTGTATACAGAAGGAGCTCTTTTTGCCCTTGGACTCGATTGGTAATATTTTCTATAGGCAAGCGGCACTGATTGCGCATTCTGAACAGTCATGGGTTCGGGTTTCATATTTCGATCTGAGTGGCATATATTTTTTCTAAATTAAAATTTGCAGTCATTAATCTGACGTTTTTGTTTCTAAATAGTGACAATTGAAAAGCTTTTTAGTGTCTTAAATGTTCCCTTTTTTCAAAGCCATTCTTAAAATTTGCACCACCTAAAATTATTTGATATTTTAAATTTTTAATATTTTAAAAAAACAAGGGAAGAAAAGGCATTTGCTAAAACTCTGCTTACCGCGTGCTGAAATAATACGTCACTTTCTCTTAAAAAATGCTTGCCTATTTTCTCATTAAGGAAGTTAACAGTATTAATAGATTTAACTACTTCATTCCTTTCTCTAATTTCTTTCCTGTCTTGCTTTCTGGTAAGAAAACTCATTTGTGTAGCCAAAAAAGTAGTCCTGTTAGCGCGCAACATTTCCTGGATGCAATAAAATAGATTTTGCAATCTTTTGGTGTTTATCTTATTTCAATTGAATAAAGTGTTATAAAAAACTGTCTAGAGAAACGCATTATCGGGAACTCCTATGCACTACGAGAGACGTCTGAGGTTTGAGAAGTATGAAAATGTGATAGCAATTCCTTAGTGGCGCCTTCGACTATGCGCTGAGAAGGGCAGGAGCGGGACCAGATGTGAAGGTTCGATTTTTCTGAATAACTGCTAATTAACCTCACTTAAAAGGTTAATTGCCCGCCAATGCCTTTATTTAATTTAAGCATTCAACGTTTGCGAGTCCAGTCAATACCTTTTACATGGTCACGTTACAGGTAAAATCGCCTCAGGCCCATTTTTGTCTGGCCTTGACTTATTGATCCCTGTTCAGACGCATGCCACACCCATGCAGCCGTAACCAAAGGTTTTACATGCCATCAGTCTCGTGGATATTTTCCCGCTTAAATCAATCCGTGAAGATTTACTCGCTCGAATTATATTTTGTTTAATGCTGTCTCATCCAAGGCTGTATTGAATTTGGAATAACTCAAATCACTTTGTTTTCAGACAAAAATGTAAAAAATTTAATGTGGTACTTTGATATTGCATTCTTTTTTTTATAAGAACCAGTAAATTTAAGTTCAGGCTGACTGTTCTTAATTTTTTCAAAAAATCAGAGGCTGGATTGTTCTTAATTTGTTCTTAAATTAAGAGGGTGTAAGCAGTGCTATTGTTAGCTTTTTCGCTCTAAGAAGGTGTTCAGGCCTCATTTGCCAACAAAGTGAGTGAGACAGCCTTAATTTGCTGACAAATTTTAATGTTTACCGAAAAAGCACCCACACATTGCTAAAAATCCTCGATTTTGAGAAAAAATGTTGTTCAAAATTGCATTTTGCAGAAGCTCAGCCTCAGCTTGTTTTTAATTTGTTCTTAACTTTTGATCTGTTTTGAGGCTCGTGTTCTTATAAAATTGTTCTTATAAAAAAAAGAGTGTAAGTCTTAGGCAGATTCCTCCGCAACCTTGCTTTCATTGTATTAGAGCACAACAAACGAGCCTTTTACAAGAAGCACTCGAGTGTAGACAACTAGGAGGAACGCACTGTTCTAGAGTGAAGGCTTGCAATGATCATAGGCATGTTAACAGTGTGTGAATTGGAACGTAGCATCTTTTATTGCGCTTGCAGTACCTGGAACCTATGTAAAAATGTAAAAAACTTTAATGTGGTACTTTAATGTGGTACTTTAATATTAACTGTCTAACATGGTCTGACTGTGAGGAGTTGGATATGACCAATGGTATAGAAGCGACATAGAAGTCCAGTGCGACCAGTCTTAAGAGAAGCAGTTCGCTTAATGTGAAATTACCAAAGTGTTGCAGGCACCAAACAATCTTAATTACGTGTATTTTGGAAAAAAGTAATATTCTTAACAGTAATATAATGTCACGAGAAACTGACAATATATAGACAACAGGAAGACAGTAAAGAACTTTCGTGACGCTTCCTTTTGTGAAATTAATTTTATCGCCTAAAATCTTCCGTGATTCGTTCCCGCCAGATTATTTTACTAACGAGCCTGTGTCTAAATGTCATCTTTGGCTTCAAAATTTTTACTTTCTGCATTCATTGAAGCTTATTTGTGATAGGATTAGGTGAATCGCTTAAATTTAAGGCAAAATACAAAATTAATGCTAAGAGCTATTTACGTGCCCGCCATCTTTAAACGAAAATTGCAACTACAAGGATAATCTGTCTAAACTTTAATTCTGCTGTGCAAGGTTTGGGATTGAAAGATTACTGCTAAAGATTCACAGAAACTTCCGAAGTAAATCAAAATCCAGGTCTTCATCTATCTTTAGTCATCCAATCCTCCAGATTTTTATTCTTAGTAAATGTATACACTCCCCACGTTTTGAAACAATCAAAAATGCCTTGTAAGCGATGCGTTTTCACCTTACGTCAGAATCGCAGTGCGCGTTCTTTGAAAAGACTGGGCCGATATATTTTGAGCCCTCTTTGAGAAGCATGACTTAAGTCAAAGTCCCTTGTACCTGTTCGCTCCTATTAATTACCGATTGTTCAAAAAACTAATTTCCCTGATGATCTAAACTCCGAGTAAGAGGAAGCTCGTTTCTTCTGGAAGTAAAGATACACACTTTAACGTTTTGTGAGGACGATGGGTATGCATGGAAGGCTCTAGCATTTTTAAGTTGCATTTCAAGGAGTTCTTAAGGAAATTGTGGTAAGATTTTTAGCAGAGTTTTTCAAGCCTCTTTTACTCTCCATTTCAGTGCATTCTCGTTGAAGATTTCTAAGAACCAAATAGATGAAACTTTCTGTTTCGTTGTACGTGTTTTTTATCCTTTAAAAAGGAACAGTAAGAAATTTGTGCATTTTACTCAAAGAATTAACCTTCTATCAATGCATCGTTGCAGCCTATTTGTCTCTTAACAGTTCTCATATGATCTATATAACAAATTTTCGTAAAAATTCAACCATGTTAAACATCGAATTTCACGATGCTTGAGCACACTTAACTGCAAAGATATGCTGTGCAGCTTATGTTCAGTTATTCTTCGGCAATTTATGCAAGCAGAGAAACTGGACTATATTTTGTGTGTCTCCGTGAAAAAACGAACGATATAAGATAAGTCTTCGCAAAGACAGACATCTTTGGAACAAGGGTCTCTCAGAATTAGGAAAGCCTTCGGAATTTTCCAAAGAAAACTGCAAATAAATTCATTTTTTTAGATAGTTAACTTAAAACTTCTATTGATTTTTAAAAAGCAAATTTGATATCTTTTTGATATCTTCAAAACTAGCTGATTGATTTTGTCCGAATTTGAAGAAGCACCTTAGATTGTATTAATTCTAATCAGTTCATTTTTATTTATCTCCAGAATAGCATTGTATAAATATTTCTTGCATCCAAAAAAATCAGAAATTATGTTTTGCATCCAAAAGCTTTGTGCATTATTAAAGAGGTAATTTATTATGGTTTCTTTGCTAAGAAAATGTACCCTTTGAAGTTCTTGCCGGAGACATTTCTGGTTAGATTATTCTATTCACCGATCTACCGATCTGATCAAAGTAGAACATCTTCCTATATTTTCTTGACCACACTTTTAGCAGGAGTTTCGAAGCAAGTTTAAAAGTGAAGGGTGGAGAGACAATTACTGGCTAATAGCGAAATATTATGTGCCTAGGTATGTAACGTAACAAAAAGTAACAGGTAACAAAAGAAAACACTGTATCCCATCGTCGGAGTCCCTGTGTGCATGGGCGTGGAGGACGCTATATTTTTAGAAGAGGGGGGCTTAGTTTTTGCCCGGTTATTATTGCTTAATTGAGAAAGAACTGCTCAAGTGAAGCCTGAAATGCGATGAATTTTTGCTGATTAGAGGGGCTATAGCCCTCCCAGCCCCTGTGTCGCGTACGCCATAGCCTATTTAAGTGGCCACCTGATTTTCAGATAAGAACTTGTTCCTGAATTCAGATACGATTTAAAACAAATGTCGTCAGCTCTCATTTTCATTCCTTTACCAAAGTCATTGCTTTGAAATTTTTCGTTGCAAATTTTGCTTTCAAGCTTTTCACTGAGGTGTTTCTAAAAGGATGTTGCTCTTGATATCGAAAAGATCCTTATTTACTTCATTAATAGTCAGAGATTTCACGTCATAAAAAATGTAGCTCTAGAGTCTTTTTGACCCAAAAGACCACCATGAAATAAATTCTAAAATGGAAAATAAGTTGAATATGTTGATAACTGGTGATGCTGTTGTATAATCCAAACAAGATAACATTACGAATGATGTTTGTGACGTAATCACTTTGAGCTTTATTGCTGAGTGTTTTCCATAGAATAGTCAACAATCATGACGTCATGTGATGCATCAAATGCATAAAAGCATCCCGTATGTGGCATAGGTACACAAACCTTTGTTTTGTGAGAGCAGAAAAACAACATTAGCTCTGTTATGGTGGGTTCGTATTCATGAGCATTTTCATACTATTTTAAAATGAGTGGGAGTCCTGACAACTTAGATTGCAGCAACGTAAAATAGTTATACAAATAATGGCCTGTTGCCAAACCCGCACAAACCCATTCCTTCTGTTTTTTATGTCAACAAGGGCGGTATTTTGGGAGGCATTTAGGCATGGCTCACATAATCCTTGAAAGAAGTTTGGTATCTCGACCAAGGCGTGAATTGCTAAAAATACCTTGTGTCTAAAAGAGGCGAAATACCGCAAAAATATCTATTTAATCGCCAGGGAAACCATCATTGGCCACTGAAAAATGATATGAATATCCGCGGGACCCATTGACTATGGAAGTGGCACATTATACTGTTACTGTTTAATCATCAACTTTGATTAAATCTTATCTCACCTAATCTAAAGTTTTACAGTCTCCTTTTGAACTTTTTCTCATTGAGAAATCCTGTAGCGATAAAACATTATCACTTCATTTGCAGCGTTCTCCTTCTAAACCCGGTGCCCCCATTTCTAAGTTAAATGTTCTATAAACTCAAAACTCTAACAAGGGATGATTTTATTTTGGGGTTTGGGGGCTGGTGGCTCACTCCTCATTGATCTGAAAGAGGGTTGTAAGGGTTGTAAATGTAGATGATGTTTGCTAATCAACCCCCTTCCTCTCCCCCTTCCGAATCTCATCTCTGAACTGTTTTCAGAATGGTTTTTTAACATTCATGCATTTCAGCCAGATAAATAATTAAAAGTTTTTCAAAACAAGTTCCGTGACCACGTGGTCCAGTAAGCATAAACTTAATACATTGCCGTTCATTCATTTTAAGACTTTCATTTGAGGAAGTCTTCCGTGACGGCCATAGAAACTTGCTTGAGTGCATTGAATAGAGAAGAACACCATTCATTTTTCATGCCTCTAAAGTGCCAAACACCCTGAGGTTTCAGGGTTTGGTCACTATCAAACCGTTATTAAAAAGCTGAATCACAAAGAAAACAATACCCGGAAAGGATGGGACGAATTATAATATCAAATTGCGTGATTCAGCGGCGCATAATCTCCAAAACCGCTGTATCATTGTCTTTTTCAATTACCTGATTGTTGATTGTATAAATTTATCCACACAAAAACATGACTACACATGACAAGGACCATTCAATATTCAACATAACCCAGCATGTTTCGCCTCGTTTTGCTTCATCCCGCACCGTTCCCTTGCTGTTGTGATGACGTAGCCGCCTTCCCACTGGCCTAATTATCGCGTGTCCTAAATATTCCGTGCAAATCTGTGACCTATCCTAATTTCCCGCCCAATAACACCTTTTCATAGCTTCTCATACGAGTTAATTATATTTGTGAAATTTCAAAATTATTCGTCACACCTCCGTAGCCGTATTGCAATACTAATTGTTTCCAGGTGTTAAGTATTTCATAACCAAACAGTGAACGGCTTTAGGTCAAAGAAATCTTTTTAAGGACGCAGAGTTTATGTCACGAAAACCTGAAGGCTCTAGTTTTATGACACCAGCCTTCTAAGCTCTTAATGATTCTTGCATCTATCAGTACTCTGAAAGGGTTTGATATCGCCTTTTAACACCGAAATTTTTGCTACCTCTATACATTTTGTAAGAATATCTTGGGAGAATACTGGCATCGATTTACGATTTCTAGACTTAGCCAAAAGGCAGCGGAAGGTGTTTCAGTGATGATCGAGGTACAATGAAAAATTGTCAAAATTGTCTCGCTATGTGGGCGAAAAGACATCAGCTCTGTAGACAAGTTTTATTTTTTGGCTTAAAGGGCACTTGTGGCTTGAAAAATGGCGCTTAATTCGAAAGTTTTGGCGACTTATTAAAAATATTGCCGTTAGATAAGTAATTTGTCTGTAAGATTGCACGAAGCTTTGTTTTTTGTCTTTTGAGACTATAATGTGTGTTTTGAAAACAGGTGGAAAAGGCAAGGCCCTTGGTCGAAAGCGTGGTCAGTGAGCAGCATGTATCGTTGCTCATTGGTCCGGTACGTTAGTCTCTAATTTGTAATTGTGTTACCTGTGTTCTAGCTGGTGCCAATAAACAGCCGTCTCCGTGCTCTTTTGGCCTAACCTCGTGTGTTGGCCGACGTTTCGTGGCTCAGCACCCTTTTCAAACTCCAATGTCCCTGAAAGAGACAAATTCCACTTTTTTTGCAAATTAATTGTCATTGAAATAAGGATTCTGATGACTATATTTATCATGTTTTAAATGGATGTTTTTACAGTTTCGATACAAGCATACCGATTTGAGAAGCCACGATATCTTGAAAGGCTCTCAGCGGCTGTCGTGATGTTTTATATTTGAAAAATATTTTTTCTTTAATTTTTTTATGGAATTTAGAAGTTTAATTCCGTTAATAATTGAAATTTTTAAAATTTGGAAAAGTGATAAGTTAGAGATCTTTCAAAACTATATTCACCCCTGCTTCCTTCTGCAGTGCCTTGGCGTTTCCTTAGCCTCAGTAGTCTTTCCCAAGCCTCTTTAGTCCCATTACTGCAGTACTCTGGAATTGTGAAGTTCTGTTATGGGACTAAAGCCGAGGGCAGGGGTTAAACTTAGTTCTTTCGAACGGAGACAATTGATATTGTCAGAAACAGGGAGATGTCACTATGTTTGGGAGGGGGGGCATGCGCCACCTGGCTAGAACGTCAAAAAGTGCCCCGACTGGAATATTAGCAAATGATTCAACATGCATGCTTTACTTGGTCAGTGTGTCATAATTGGCTGTACATTTCTTCCCAAGGTTAGGTAGGAAGATATATGATCTGCTCTATCTGCCTGTGTCTTAAACTAGAGTGTGAATGGGAACGCTATTGTTGTTATGAGAAAAATACAATGTTCTGTTGATTGAAATAAAAATATTCACTAGCGCTACACACTTTTTTTATAAGAATACCCAATTTTTTTGCTGAGCCTCAATATTCTAAATCTTTTTATTTGAAGCCTAAAGTTGTTCTTAAATTATTCTCAAGCGTCACAAGGTGGGACTGGGACTGAGTTGCATTATAATGTTTATGACTCCAAGGCCAGATACGTCTGTTTCAAAATATATAGCGTGAAACTCACATTTGTTTCTTTCCAAAAAACTCAAATAAGCAAAGATTAAATTCTTGAAGAAGATTGAGCCTTGGATAATTCTAAATCTATTCAGAAATTTCAGCGATTTTGAGCCTTTTTTTCGTATAGGCTGTATTCTTATAAAATGTTGTGTAATGGAGCAAGTCTCCTAACATGTTAAATATGTCAGAAGAGACCTTGTCACTGTGCCCGTTTGGAGGGTTTCATTGTAACATAGAAACCTCTCTCCTTAAAGAAGGGCATGCTTCATTTATTTCGTAGTTTGAGTTTTCTCATGAAATATGGTACATGATTCTTTTAAAGAAAATTGGCCCTTGCAAAAGGCGTGCGCTTCTTCCACCTAGACAAATGAATTTCACAGATTTGTAAGTAACACGATAAAATTCCCCCTAAAGGTGAACAAATTTTTCATTGAGTTTCTGGTCAGAAAGCTATGTATAACTTTGTGCCAAGGAATAATTGTTTGTGATAAAAATCATTGTTCTACAGATGTAAATATTGATTTTGGTTATACTACAATGTTTCGATAAGATTAATTTCAATCAAAGGTTATATTATTGCTCCCCTATCCTCTCTAGGCTATTTCAGGTTTCAGCCTCTCAAAAAGAGTCCCTTATTTGCCGATTTGGGCGTTTTCTATAAGTCATACGTCACATAAGGGCAGAGCAAACAGTAGCATTCACATTGGCTGATGAACTTAGTCTTAACCACTATTGTGCCAGAGAACAACAGAGAATGTCCATTTTCTGATTCAATGCGTCAATAACATCCCCTGTATATCCTGAAAACAAACTAGGCAGAGTTTGTCACTCGAACAAAGGTCTTGCCTTTCTGGAGAACTGGATGACAGTTGTGATCATTTTTTTCTCTTCTTTCTCTCTTTCATTTTCTGAGACCATCTATGGGATCTTAATGTCTCGAGACCTTTATAGACCATTTCTTCGAAATAGAGGATGTTTACATATATTTGTTAAAAAGAAAATGGAATGGTTTTAAATTTCACATAAATACACTTGACAAATTGGTAATTTTAGTTGAAATAGCGACACAAAACTATCAAAACTGAAAGCTGTCATTTTAGACAGTAACCGTATTTGATATTAAATTGAATCTTGAAAGGTATGTTAAATTTTAGGAACTATCGTTTTTCGTTTGTTGCTCAACATTTCTGGTTTTCAGCATCTCATTTCTTGCCTGGGTCCCCTTGTGTTAAAAAGACAGACTGTATAAGTACCCCTCCCCTAGTTTCTAGTAATTTCCATTCTTAAATTATTTGGATATACAGTGGTAGTTTGGGGAATACATATTTATTGGGGAATACATATTAATTTCATTTCCTGTATTTCTACAGAAAGCTTCGTGCGCCAAAATTTTTGTAACACCTAGATTGTGAAAATCCTCATTGACATGGTGGCTCTTATGCATCGTGGGACAAGTTGTTGAGATCATTCGGTTACCGCATGGCTTCCACGCAACGGCTGCGGTGACCAGAGGCTTAAGGCCGTCGTGCAGCTTCGTGCAAATAACATGCTTATACGTAACCAGTCACGTGACACGTTAGAAACAACAATAAATATGGTTGCAGTGTTTGGATTTGAATAAACGAAGAAGCCATAAAGGCTAGACGAGTCTCTTGAGAGCAAAGTTGCCCAACAGAACTGGGTATTCAGGAAAAGAAAGAAAGAAAAAGTAATTAGATCGCAGATAAAATTTACAATTGGTGATAAAACTATTGAGAGGCGGATTGTGACGGATATTTAATCATCGACCCACGATTGTTCGATAGCAATCACAGGATCACAGAGCGTATAAATAAAGTTGAACAACCGTTCCTTACCAGTTCAAATCAGATGAGTTCATTCTATAGAGGACATTAAATGTTGTTTTTGTCAGTGTGCCAAAATTGAGGGTAATTATAGACGCTCGATCGTTTTCGGAGGATTTTTGTTGGCCGTGCAATACGTAATTTTCATAGCAGTCGCTGGGTTTTTTGACCTGACAGCCAAAATAACTCGCTTAACATCGTACCAACCCCTTCGGGATTACTTGAGAATGGGGTCTCGCATCTCTTCAACAAAAAGGACCATCGATCAACAAAATGATCGTAAAGAGGCAACTAAATATCGTCGTCGACTCAAGGGAAAGAAAGACGTACTCAATCAAAACGGAGATCATTCTACACCTAGGCCAAGGAAACTTGACATTCTACTCGATAGGCCTATGTTGTCAAAGCAAACACAAATAGAGCATGGTTGGAATCAAGACGACAGGAGTATGAACATTTATGTCAAGGAGGATGATCCACTAACACTTCACAGGCATCCTGTGGCTCAAAGCACGGATGGTATAAGGGGAAAAGTCGGGTTCTCAAAGGGCCTACATGCTTGGGACTTCCACTGGGCAACAAGACAGCGCGGAACTCACGCAGTTATTGGTGTTGCAACGAAGAAGGCTGCCCTTCATTGTGCCGGATATCACTCGCTAGTTGGCAGTAATTCGGAGAGTTGGGGATGGGATTTAGGGCGAAATAAACTCTTCCACAACGAAAAAACATTTGTTGGAAAAAGTTATCCAAAGAATTTAGGACCTGATGAAACCTTCGTTGTACCAGACTCGATAAGAATGATCCTAGATCTTGACGAAGGAACTCTAGCTTTCGAAGTCGATGGACAATATTTAGGCCCTGCCTTCAGAAATTTGAAAGGACATTGTGTTTATCCTATGGTCTCAGCGGTTTGGGGTCATTGTGAAGTCACTATGAAATACATTGGATGCATTGATTGTAAGTATTATTTATTTTTGACTTGTTTTTTTACACCACACTTTCTATATGATGTTGCCCTTCCATGCTTGTTTATTGGAAACTTCAGTTTTCTTAGATTAGAAATTTTTTTAAAAACACCCATTTTCTTTCGCGGGAATGTTTAATTGAAGTTGAAAGCGAGATCTTCCTGTTACAAAAAAACTTCTTTCAAATTTTTTGTTGCCACTTCCCAACAGGAAGTTGAACAGTCAGTTCCTTTGGTTAAGTGAAAAGGAAATCCTTGTGCGTCCATTGTGGACGATATTTGTCCATTCAAAACTTTTGTATGAAGCAAAAAACCCTTTTATTGTTTGGTTCAAATTTTTGTGGGCCATAGAACTGCCATTCGTCCTTCTTTTTTGGTGTAAATATAAGATCGATTATTTCCTTAAACAATATATTTGTAAAGACATGCAATTATTAATTATGTTACTGCTTCAGTTTTGAAAGAAAACTGGTGCTTAAGTAGCACGTGGGTGAGGCATTTCCGACTAAAGTTTGACCAGCTTCCATTAAGCTCTCAGAAAAACACAAGTTTCAAATATTAGGCTATCTTTTACTATGTTTGTCAAACGAAAATGGAAGTTTCCATTTGACCTGATATTTTCACTAAGAGCTTCCTTGTCATGATATGCCCAGTACTTTTGGCTATGTGGTTTCATTATAAACACCATTCCATTACGTCATTTGCTAAACACAATACTTGAATAGGCTTCATGCGACTAAAAGGACCTTTGACGTCTGGTGATGTGGCGTTTAATAATAGGTATTACAGTTTGCCTAAAAGTCTTCTTTTGTTGGAGTTTAGTTGACGTAACTTATCTTGTAATTCAAATAGCCATTTTCATTAATTATTACGTTGGAATCACCTGGGCCTCAGGTGGCATAACCTCGTTTAGTTGTTTACTGCCTCGAAACATGGTTTCACTGCATCCATAATTAGTGTTATTGCTGTAATTCAGTTTTCGAATCTCGTTATTTACTGATAAAGGATTCTCTAGAATTTTGACTGTCTGTTGCTAAGAATGAAAATAGGGGATATGTTTGATATGGAAGACGTGTCAACATATGTCCAGACACTCTTTTGTTTAAACTTAATTCGATAAATTGTTGTCTGGGACTTAGAAAGAAATACTGTTTTAAGGCTAGTTATATGTAGGCATTTCAACCCTGCAATAGATTTTCAAATTAAGCCATTTTTACCAGTTATTCATAAGTATGACCTGCAAGTTGTGAAGGTTTTCCATATGATTTTCGCACATTTTCACGCGTAGATCATTGAACAGGGGCAGCCCTCTTTCATCGGAACAAAAGGTCCACGTTTACTCAAGCAGGTCACTGGTCGCGCTAGTATTGAATTGAATTGAACAAAAGCGCACGTGGCCCTCAAGCATCAGCGAATTTGAAAGAAGCCATGTTGACGGTTGATCTCTTTAGGGTTACCATAGGTTGCAGGTGGACTTAGGTGTGCAAATTCACTGGCCACATCTATTGCAAAAGCCATTGGTTTATATTCAAGCACGCGCTCTCTTTATCCTTTTTTCAAAACATTTATCATCTGTTCCTTCACCTATGGTACAGGATTTCGCGCAATTTCGTTGCCATGACAAATCACCCAACCACATTGATTCGAAACACGGCACGCTATTACGTCATAGGAATAAGAGAAAAAACCTTTTCATTTGAAGAACACCCATTTCTTTCCTTTGGCTAGCTTGTGCTTTAAATTTTTCGTATTTTTGTAAGCGAGATTTCAAAATTTTTGCCCTTTTTTACCGTTTTGCAAAGGGCTGTCTGCTGTGATGCACCTCTCATTACCTCAAGTCTAGACATTAATTTAAGGGGATATAATGAATTGATTCTGATAGTGCTTGTCGTGCTTTCCTGGTATGCCCCTTCAGACATTGGCACCGTTTCAAATAGCAGCAGTTTCAAAGGTAGTTGCACATGTGAGCACGTGGATTAATTTGTATCTTCTTGGAGCGAGAATGATTATTTTCTAAAAAAACATATTCTTGTGCCAGATTACATTTTGTGTTTTACCTCTTATTCTTAACGTTGTTGCCAACCTCGAACGTTTTATTGTTCAATATACAGAAGTTTATAAAGCTTTCATTTCTTCTTTTAGCTGAACCGCTACCACTAATGGATCTGTGTCGATTCCAATTGCGTAAAACCATTGGCAAAGAGAACATGTCAAAGGAATTGCTGGATCTGACCGATTTGCCCATGGAATTGAAAAAGTACTTGGTGTACGAGTCATGAAACAAGACACACTTCGCGTGCAGTGAGCGTGGTATCCCTGCCCGGCCGAGCAGCCCTTCATAAGCTGTAGACAATGTGAATCAGTAGCACGCCAGTTGCAACCCTGTTTTCAGTACAAGAAGATCAAGAAAATTAACACAACCAAAACTGATGGTGAAGCATCGTTTAAGACGTGTGGCGTGCTGCTTTTGCTTCGAAAGCATGCACAGAAGAAAGGACAGTTATATTGTTTAGGGTCATGCATAAGATGACTTGGACTCGTTTTTGTTTTTTTAGAGGAAAATCTTTTCATACAATTATTTATTATTGATCAAACGCGAATTCTTATTTACTTGACCCGAATAGTCCTTTCATCGTTACGTGTGGGAAAGCAGGCACCAGGTCAAATCGTGGCTGTTATGATGCTATGACCTTTTCTTTACGACAATGCTTCTTTCAAAATGTTGGATTTCGATTACATTTATAGCAACATTGATTCAAAGAGTATTTCAGATTTGAAATTTGACCACCTTCTATCCCACCGACGTAACATTTGCTTAGGGCCTTCTACTTAGGCCAGATTGGTCCTATCCTACAGCCTGTATTATAGAACCGTCGCATTTGACAAGGCTTTATGATATGTTTCTAATATCAAATTGATACTCGTAGATTAGAGTAAATAACTTTCACCATTTGAATTTATATAAAAAATATGATAATGCAGAGAGATTAATGAATTTATTTCAGGTTTAAGAGAAGCAATTTAATATTATTGTTATTATTATGGTATTGTTGTTGTAGTATTTTCAAATCAGAATTTTATCTTCACGTTCATATTTCTAATTTCAACACAACCTGCGTTTAACAGGGACTGCATTAGAGGGGGGCCAGAGGGGCATACCCCCATTTTATAGTTAAGTATATTGCTAATAACTGGCTTGCTTTTTCTTGAATTCCGAATCGCGGTCCCTGTTTTAAGCAGTAGCAATGGCAGCAAAAACTAGAATTTGTGTTCGATAGCACACAAACACATTTTTACACAGGGTGATTTGCGCCAAAGCAAGCATCATAAATGTGACATAAAAACCAATACAGTTTGTTAAGTGTTCTCTTTTAAGTAAAATTTCCATGCATAAGATCTTCATGTCATTAATTTATTGCAAAATATTTTCCACACAAATTTTCTGTTTATAAAGTTTTGCCCATAAGGTTTTGCCCATTAGAAACTATTATTTTTTCACAACACAGAACTTGCCTCCCCAAAACCACCTTTAAAAGGCATTGTATAAAGAGAAACTAACTAGATGTTTTATAAGCAAAGTGCTTCATGTGTCCAGTTCTTGTGTTTATATAGGTTGGGCTATATTGCTGCCAAATTTTGCTTCTTTATTGTAAAGATCAAGTTAAATTTCCTGAAATTTATTTAAATTTGGTAATTTTATTGAGTTAAATTATATTTAATTCATTTTAAGTATTTTAAGGAGTTTGAATTCGGTTTCAAATTGAACAAACAGTTTTGAGAGATTTTTCTAGTCTTTTTCGTACCTTTGATTCTTCACAATTTTCTGTGATTCTTAAAATGTTTTCTGCAACGTGGGAAGGATCTCGTTAATTTACCAATTGCATACCTACCCGAACCTCGTTAACCAAATAAGGGACACTCGTTAAAAGTCCTGCAAGTTTAAAAAAATGAAAGAAGAGAGAAGAAGATATTATTGAAGAAGATTCTCTCTTCATTCACCAACCATTTAGATTAAGTAGTGAAAAAGATGGAGAAACCCTTGACAATGTCCAGAAGGAAGGGACAAAGTAGAACAACTTAAATCTTTATATCAGTATAAAATTATTTGTAGTTATTTTCACAAGAGAGTAACAAGTAAAGGTGGGAGTAATTGGTACATTATCTGAAATAAATAAAAAGTACTGATTGGAGTGACAATGCCGGCGTGGAATACTGACAATTCTTGGCACTTTTTATTGAGTCATGTATAATGAAAGATGCCCTGTATACCTTCTCTAAGCATGATAAACTCAACGTACACTCAAATGTATTTGAAACAACAACCCCTGCCACAAACGATTCAGATTTTCGAAAGTTGTAGAAAGCTCTCCCCCGGCCCTCCCCAACACCCAAATTTGAACGTTGAAGTGGTTTTTGCTCTTTGATCCAATATTGATTTGTGGGGAATCAGAAGAGGGGTACCACTCTGTCGCTGTTTTGTCTCGACATTATTGTCCAAAATTTAGCTTAGATAAAGGCAACGCCTTTTGACTCTAAACTTTGTTTTTATACAGCTTGTAAGCATACATAATTTATCAGTTATTGCCATTTCTGGCACACATCCATACCGGAAAAGCGTGCTTCTTGTCGTTGTAGTTAGAGAAATCCAGTTAATTGAAAGGATTAGTCAAACTTTCCCCAATTTTTGAAATATTTTAAACAACCTAATAGCTTATAATTTGATTTACTTTTTTCATGGTTTTCAGAATGATCCTTCCTAAGTTGAAAATTTGGCTTCCAAAAGCTTTCCTATGATAATTTTAGTCAATATTGTCGATAAACGTCACATTGTTGACACGCTTGTTAAAGGGAACAAGAAAACGGGAACATTTAGTATATGATCTGTCCAAGAAGGCTGATTTCTGTTAATGGCAGGGCTGGCCAGTGCTTGCTTAGGAGAGGCATAGACTGGGCATAGACAATGTCCTTAACCCCTCGGCACCAGTTACGCAGTGGATTGAGGGCAATAGAAATCATAGGCTCCGACAAAGGTTGAAAAGTGGAGGGGCCAAGAGAAAATTCAACACCCATAACAAAAGATTTTGAAAAAAACTCTCTTGTTTTGCAAAAAAGTGGGGGGGCCCCCTTCGTCGGAGGCCCTGAGAAAGATACCCCCCCCCCTTAACGTTTCAAGTTTGCAAGGAAATTTTGCTTTGTCAAATTTCATTCTAGTTCGTCGGAATTTGTGGGTAAGATTAACTTTTAGCTCCATCCCTAAAAAACAGTTAGAAATGGCGAAGAAGACTGGCTAACAAAAATTCTATTTACAATCCGAAGGCCTAAAAATTGTTATCTGTTGTAGAAATGGCTTTTCTTGGTTCAACGTAAGGTTTGCAATTGCTGGTGAGACTTTCCACCCATTGTGAAGTTTCAAAGAAGACTACCAATTTTGCAGTTTCAACCGAGAAATGAATTTGCCAAAGCTTTGTGAATCCCCAAGTAAGTATTCCTGTTTCTTTTTTATACCGCCTATGAAGTCTCAAGTTGCAATGAAGCATAGTTTGTTGCTCGGTTAATTCTTTACTGATTTCTGAATCTTACCAAGCGGCGAGTATGCAGCGTTTGAATAACAAAAAGTACTTTCATCCGCAGAGGCTATTGGGAAGGAAGAGGGGGATTACAGAAAAGGGGAGGAAAAGGAGAACTATGTTGTGGATTCACGGGGAGGTGAAAATAAGCATATGGATCGATAGCCGCAACTTTGAAGAATGCACTCTTTACAATTTGAAATAAAGGACTTCTAAGAAAAGGATATAATTCATTTACATTTTTTGCATTATTTACAATATAACTAGAAATTAAAGGTTTAACATTCAGTAGATTTTTTGTAACTATTCTGGGAAGATGCCGTCTAGTGGGAAGACTATTCCATATTTTTGTCCTACATGCTGGTACTCTCTTGGCAACCCAAGATCTGTCTCAGTGTTACTTGGACTACGGACAGTGACGTAGATAAAGGGGTGTCAGAGGGGGCAAAAAGCCCGCCTGTAAAGCTAAACAGAAATTTAACTTCTGTTGGAAAACTTCTGATGCTATCGGAAATATAACATAGTTGTCCATTTTTTGTATAAGTGTTAAATTTTGAGAAAAAAGATATTAAAGCTGAACATAACTATTTTAAATCAGATCTTTTACAGTTAGATAAGGTACTAAACAAGATTTTTTTGGAGGAAAGAATTGATGACATGTGACTTTGAATAAATGATAAGACTTTATCTCCTATTTTTTCAGTTATAATTCATTACGTTGGGAAATCTAAACCTGTCAGGAAATCTAATTTTTTTGCCCTACCTATGAATTTTTCTAAGTGCTTTGCTTGATAGTTGATCTTGTTTATTGTATTGTAGAGCGGGAGGTGGTTAACAAAGAAAGAACAAGACTAAAGTGTGAGTAACAATAAGCTGCTGAAATTAAAATATGCAAAGCCCAGTGGCATCGCCAGCTCGAAAAAAACTAGGGTGGAGAGATAAAAATTATCTCGGCCACGCTCTTCAGACTCTTTGAAAAGCCTTTTTAGTATTTTAGATCTAGTTCGAATTTTTGGGACAAGCAACTGTCTCAAGCAGCATTTTTCGTACCGGTGGCTTTTTGCAAGTGCAAAATCGAAATCGATCTGATCTGCCTCCCCCCTCTCCAAAGGTTTTTCAACGGATTTTGAGAAATTAAAAAATCGATTCCTGGGATATGTTCACCCCAGTCTAACCTGTGGCGACGCCGCTGGTACAACCATGAAATTATTTTGGTCCCATTCCCTACTTCTGTCAGCCCTAGAAAAAACTACAGACGATTTTTCGCATTCACAATCAAGACACATTTTTCGTTGAAACAACCATAGAAACAGAGAATCATTTTCACGAATCCTTGTCAAAGTCCGACATGTTTTTGTTTTGACAATGTTTATAACATGTGCGTCCATGCAAGAACACATTTCCTACAAATCGACAGCGTGCGGGAAGCGATTAAAGTGGCACGAAATGTGATAGAAATTAGCGAATTAAACAATAACAACTTTGATATGACCAGATTTCGGATAAAATATCACACTTGTTTCACAAATAGGTCTGGTTAACGATACCCCAAAAACAAGCTGAAACAATTCGTGGCTAGGGTAAGAAGTTAAGAGTTAATACGAAAGCACGACTTCTCGGCACAGTTTTGAAAGCACTGGTGCAAATTCATGCAGCTGACTTCCCAAAAATTAAGGACTGAAATGATAGGTGATAGAAATAGGCCTGAAAGAAACCTGAAAGACAATATTGGCAGTAAAAATTGCATCATCTAAACAAGAACGTATAAAACAGGGAATTTTAAGGCTATGTCTCCATTCAAGCTTTTTGAAGACGTTTTAAAGACAACGAGCAACGGGCACTAATTCTACTTAAATCAAGACCATGAGTTTTCATATAGACAGATCAAAACAACCACATGAAAATTCGACTTGATGGTTGCTAGATTGACTTCCTAATAATTTGTTTCAAATTTTTTCTTCTTCTGCTGCGTTCACTCTACAGCCATCTAAAACCTTGTTACCAAGACATCTCTAGATAACCCGGCTAGAAAAACTCGGCATCATATTATATTACACTAAAATAGTTTTGTCTCATGGAGACATAGCGATAAAGATTCGTTTTTATCATTGGATAACAGCTATGAAAAGTTTTTTAAATTCCTTTTTTACATATTTCCATATTACATATTACATAAATTCTTGGAGAAAACTATTTCCGTTAGGTTTTCGTCGACATTTTTTTAAGCCTACACTTTTACTTTTGTAACAAAGCAGCCCAATGAAGAAGGGATTAATCGTGCTAGGGAACTTTTTCCTGCAATAACAATAAGACACTGTGTTCATTCGAGTATAACATCATACTTTTTTGCAGTTTCAGAAAAAATTTACTCCTTTGCTTTTTCAGAAAAAATTGACTGAAAAGTTCGGAAATTTTTTAAGTCTATAGTCGTAATATTTCAAAAATTGCGGATCTATCCCATTATTGGAAGGAAGAATAATTGGCCCCTGTCAAACCCTAGAAGGAATATGAATGGCAGAAAAGACAGAAAAACAAATTATGTTTTTTCCTACCGATTTTTGAATAGAAAAATTTTTATTGAAAAATTTTTCCAACATGTTTAACTTGGACCTGGTCTTAATTCACCCATGTCTTTCCTAGAAGCAAAATAAATTGCAGAAAAGGCAGAACAAATAATTAAATTTATTCATAAACAAGTAAGGTTTTAAGTTTGGAAAAACATTTTTGACAGAAAAATTTTTTTTATTGAAAAAGTGCCTAAGAAAAATTTTTTTATTTTAAAAGTGTCTAGATGGTGTTATTTGAACCTCAAAAGAGTCTTGATAGGCCTCTGTCACTCTTGGAAGCCATGGAAATTGCTAAGAAAGCAGAAAAAAATAATACTTCTTCATAAAAAAAGTAAGGTTATAGGCTTTCGAAAATCTCTTTTTAAACCCCTAAACAATCTTAACATTTTATAAGAAAGCTTATGAATATTGCCTAGGATCAGTAGCGGGGTGGCCAAGTCGATTTTTGCGCCCTATCTTGATATTGGGGTTACAAAAAAGCACGTGTTTCTAGAAGTGTAATAAATTTTTGCAACTTGAATTCAAAATTTCATGAATAAATTTTGATTAACTATGCGAGTATGAATGGAAAAAATTATGTAATCCTAACATTTGACCTTTACGATCGTGGTTCGGTAAAATATCCAGCTATTTTGAATTGGCTTTTTTTCGAGAGTCGGCCTATTTTCAAGGAATATGGTAGCAAAACTTAAGAAACTTATCAAAAGACGTTCTATCTCAATTACATTGTTGTTTTATACAACATATAGCTGGCATCTCCTTGAACTCGCTTATTATATTATATGGGAGGGGGGGCTAAGAATCAAGTTTAGTGACATAGGAGGACCCACCATGGTTGGGTCCGAGGCGAAAGAAAATTTTTGAAATCAAGCCTTGCATCTCCCGTACTAATATCCTCTACCGCTCAGAATAGACAGTTCGACGATGCTAAGAAAAACATTGATTTTTTATTTTCTTTAAAGATTTGGGAGGGGAGGATTCATGCGTTGGGGAAAAAAAGAAAGGGTGACCTTTGGTTCAGAATGCACATCGATGTAAATAACAAAAAGCTGCTGTTTTGATTGCCAGGGTGCATTCCATGTACTTGGCCCAAAGATCTTCGGCGTACACTCAGGTTTTTTGGAGTTCCGAGTGCAAACTTATAGCAAACATTTTTGGCATACGTAAATCTTCGTTAGTTGGCGTGCTAAACATGAAGCCACGTACATAGTTAACACGAAAACATATGACACAAATGTTGATTGAGTCATGGCAACGAAACGTGCTTCGATCGTAGAATCACACGTTTTATTAGATTGTTCATAGCAAGTTACAGCAAAGTGTTCTACCCGTGTACGATCAACTTTGATGTTCCTAGCCAAATATTACAAGCAAATAATTTTGGCGCCCCCTTATCTCCATTTGTGCCCATATTCAGGGGAGGCCATGGCCCCCCTGCACCCCCCTGCCACCACGCCACTGCCTAGGATCTTCCTTTGGTCTACATCAATGTTGCAAATATTTTAGATGCATTTTGTGGCCGTCCCTTGAACAGAAAGGGGTCTGGAGCACTGGTCGTCCCTTGAACTATGTTAGGGCTCTGAAGCACAGGCTATGTGACACCCGCACTTTCAATCATGTTTCACTGACCGTCATAGAGTCGTATCAAAAACATATTTCTCTAGGAGGGCCCAAAAAGACTCTAGGAGCCCCCTAGCCAATATGGAGCCACCAAGCCACTGGAACAGCGAGATATTTTTTAATTGGAGTAGGAAATGGGTTGATCTTTTCTGTACCGAAAGTTTTGTTGATAGTTATGTGAGTACTTGAAACAGTGTGACCAGATCTAGCATAATATTGGCCAAAATCGTTGTTTAACACAATATCTTGCATAATTTGAAACCTAGTATAACTCTGGCGCAATCTTGATATTTTTCAAAAAATAATTGTTTTGATTGATCCATTATCTATCATTACTGAATGCAAACACTTAACACCATTTTGGGAGTAAATGGTGACTTTCCATTTTCATTGGCAGCCAAATATTTTACCGTTGGTGGCCAAATTCAGCCAGCTAAAGAAAATACAGAAAAAAGCTAAACTTTTGCTAATTATGAGGAGTGATAGTGTAACCAAAATTTGCTTTGTAGGTTACAAAAGCTTTCACTTACCTTCAACCTAAATTGTTTGTTATCTTTTACTTTGTTTCATATTTCGTCATTTAAAATTTCGAAATTATTTTAGAAAATTTTGAATGCTATGTGTGCCAAAATTTTTGTTTTCTTTGCATTTTTGTGGCCTTTAACAACATGCGACTCTAGAATTCATCCAATTTTTGCTTCTTCATCCGAATCAATTTATGATGGCCAAGGGGATTTGATAACGCCCAAAATGGAGACGAATTGTGAGTACAATGTGTTTTAGACGAGTGGTCAAAAAGGCCAATTGGCAACTCTGGCCACTTTTGCTATTCTTAGCCTCTTTCTCTAACAGGATGGCCTTGAATAATAATGATAATAATATCTCACCAAATCTCCATTTTGGAGCAGTTACTATAACACAAACACAGAATTGCCAGGAAATACGTCATGTGCAGTATAGTACCACAGGCTAATTTTCACTTAGGTTTGAGAAAGTTCAACCAATCTCTCGATTTCTATCAAGCCTTTTGCGTTGCTTTTTAGAATTTGTTCTATTCCTGGAAGATGTATTTTGAATTCTATGCATTGCCATAAATGTTCTATATTTTCTTCATGTAATCCTCACCCTCTGCAACTTATATTATCATACTTTCCTTTGTAATTAGCTTTTAAATCGGTCATGTTTAGTTTTAATTTAAATACTTTTATTCTTTTATTCCAAAAAATCACTTTTATTCCAGAATTGCCTTTTTCAATGAACCTCATCTTTGTTTTATCGCTATTCTTAACTTGCTGCTCTACCCTCTTTGTGATTTTGCTTTTTACTATTTTTTTCCAATCTTCCCTTGATAGATCTGAAATTTGTTTTTCTGAGTATTGTATATTTGGTTCAATCAAGTCTTTATTATTTCATCATACCAGCAATTTCATAGGTTAAGATGCTTTTGTTCTTGGTATACTTGTTTTGTTGAAGGTGTTTCCTTCATGTTTATTAGTTTATGTAGGCACAAAAGTCTTCTTAGTTTTATTCGATAAACCATTGGCATAAGTCCACATTCATATAGTAAGCCTTGATAGGGTGTTGATTTTGGTATTGGAGTAGTTACGGTTATCGCATCTTTTTGTATATTTTCAAGGATTTTTAAGATTTTTTGTTCACATTAGTTCATCATGTTTCACACCCAAATAAGATTTTAGGGATAAGTACACTTTTAAATTAATTCTATACTTATTTCCATGCTTTGTTTTGTGAATGCTGGTTAGCTGATTAAGAATTTTATTCAATTAATGATTGCCTTTGCTGAACTTTTCCTGCTATTAATGCATTCCTCTACTGTTCCTCTGTTATTTTCTATATCTCCTAGGTATTTATATTTGCTCACCTCTTTTAGGGTTGCCTCATTTAGCTTTAGTTTCTTATCTTGGCCTTTACTCTGTTTGTTTATAATATTCATTTTCATTCTTTCACTCTTATCAAGGTTAACATTTAGTAGATTTTGTTTTTTAAATTCTTCTGCTATGTTCAACATTTGTTGCATTTTCTCTATTGAAATAGATACAAACATAATATCATCTTGATACAATAGAGGTGGGATAACCATCCTTCCATATCGTAGTTTCTTTTTACTTATAGGTTCCATTCCTTTATCAATGACTTGAAAGGACATTTTGAATATTTAGCCGAATGTTTTCGCCGATGGAGAGTGATGGGAGGTTAAATAAGCCGCGGAGGTTTTTAAAGTCTCTCAAAAATATCGGAAAAGTAAACGGCCCGTAGAGGTTAGCCTCAGGGATGCTACGCAGACTACGAAAACAAAATGTCAACAGAGAATCTCCCCATATCAAAATATTCATTAAAATGTTTCCTGGAGCCACAATTGGACATATGCATTCTTATCTGGAACAAACAATCAAATTGAGCCCAGATGGTGTTATAATTTTATGTGGGTCTAATAATTTAAAGAAAGAACCTCCAGATCTTGCTGCAAACAAACTGATCGACCTCGCGATAGCAACTAGGCGAAAGGTCCGACAGGTGGCTGTCTCAAGTATCCTATACAGAGGAGACTCAGAAAAACTAGAAATGAAGAGACGGCAAGTCAATCGACTGGTTGAAATTGGGCTCACTGGCGTTTGAACTGGGACTGCATTTTAACTTTCGTGGAGGTAACGTTTTAGCTAACAACTTAATTAATTCTTTCAATGAAATTTGACTAGGGTTCGGGGTTTCAGATTTTATAACCGCCAATGTCCCCAGTGGTGGCGCCAGAAATCTTCCGACAGAGGGGTTGGAGCTTCCGACAGGGGGGCTAAAATGACTAAAATAAGCAGTTTTCGTACGTTATTTTGTCAAATTTGCTCCGAAAATAACTTAAAATTTCCTCCGATGAGGGAGGGGGGCTAGATGCTTCCGACGGAGGGGCTGTGGCCCCCCTAGCCCTCTGCACCAATTTGAACAACTTTTCTTAACATGGCTGATTCACTCAAAGTTAGCATACTACTCGGAGGAATATTAGTGGCATTGATCTGTTTGAAAAGTTTATTAGCAGTGGCAAGGTCTGTAAACCAGTTGGTGGTGTTTTCCTTTTTATCCAGAGCGGAGCAATGTGAACGCTTCATGGTCTTCATACCGTTTTCAAATGTATCGGAAGCAGTGTGAACAGGTAAAACGAATCGATACTAAAACGGATAAAAATGAATACGGAGCAATGTGAACATAGCTTAAATGGGCAGTTAATTTCACCCACAAAATTGTTTCCTGCTAAGGAGACCTCAGAAACACGTGAAAGACCACCAATAACGTTTTAAACAAGAAATTCAAAACCACCCACATTTCGACCATAAACATCGACGGAAAGCACATCTCTACCAGTGCTGACATAGCAGAATCTATGAATAACTACTTCTGTCCCATCGGAGAGACACTTAGTGACAAAATACCCATAGCAAAATACCCTCTTCTTGAGAATGATTATGATGTAAATTCGTTACTGAGTTAGGTAAAGCTTTTGGCAAATTCAAAACCTCAAAAGGTTGTGGTACTGATGGCATTTCTAGCTGTTTCCTGACAAAAATGCACTTCCGGTTATCTCAGAATCTTTTTGCGATATTTTCAATCTTTCAATTGCTACTGGTTGTTTTCCTGATAGCTGGAAAATTGCCAAAGTAGCCCCAATTTTTAAAAATGGTCAACCTAACGATCGATCTAACTACCGACCTATATTTGTCCTGCCTGTTTTAGCCAGGGTATTTGAAAACTTATCTTTAGCCAGCTGCACGATTATTTGGACAATAACAAACAATCTATTATCAAACCTATCTGGCTTCAGAGCTCTTCATTCTGTTGTCACTTGCCTTCTTAACAACACAGATGACTGGTATGTGAATATGGACAATGGCAGATACACTGCAAATAATTTCATTGATCTCAGAAAAGCATTTGACACCGTAGACCATGACATTTTACTTGCGAAGTTGAGGAAGTTTGGTGTTGAAAACCTAGAACTTACTTGGTTTATGTCATATCTAACCACTAGAAAGCAATTCTGCAAAGTAAATGGGGTATGTTCTAAAACCAAAGATATTCACTGTGGAGTCCCTCAGGGTTCATGTCTTGGCCCTCTATTGTTTCTGATTTATATCAATGATCTTCCCTTCTTTCTGAAAAAAAGTAGAGTGACAATGTACGCCGACGACACAAGTATTTCTTACTCTTCTTCGAGCTTAGCAGATATAAATCAAACTCTAAACAGTGAACTGAACGATTTGAGGCAATGGTTGCAAGGTAAAAAACTTTATCTGAACGTTCTAAAAATACAAGCTCTGATTATAGGCTCCCAGCCCAAAATTAAGAAAATTACAGATAAAACAATTGATCATCCACAGTTTCTTTTGGTGACTCTCAAGTTGAAAATGTTGACCGAACAAAGTAACTGGGTGTGATAATCGATAGAAGCTTGATTTGGGAAGAACACGTTAACAGTCCCGTACCAAACTTTCTCGTGCAATCGGATTCTTGAAATATTCCAGAAAATTTTTACCTCAAAACACGTTGAGTAAAATGTGTTGAGGGTATCGTCGAGCCCCATCTTTGGTTTTGCTGTTCGGTATGGGGGTGCTGTGGGGTGACTAAACTGCAATCGTTGCAAAAGCTGCAGAATCGAGCAGCTAGAATTGTAGTTAAAAGCAGAGTTGATGCGCCTGCTATGCCACTGATTCGCAGTTTGGGTTGGCCAACTTTAGATGACATTATTAGAAGCGAAACAGCTAGAACAAGGTACAAGTCGTTAAATGGGCTCGTCCCAGAGTACCTTTCCAACCTGTTCGAAAAAAAAATTGACTCAAAATGTTAGAAAACAAGCAATGATGGAAAACAAACAATGGACAGAGAGCTATTTCTCTTCGTGGACCTAAGCTTTGGAACCAACTTGAACCTGATGCCAAACAGGTACCTTCCCTAGTCACCTTTAAGAGAAGAATCAAAAAGAAACTATGAACGAAAATTCCTATTTCGTAGTATCTACCTTCTAACTTATTAATGTTTTTGTCACGGCCCCCTGAAAAGCAGTTCTCGTGGACTGACGGGGCTACCGTGCCTAAATGATTGAAAATGTAAATGTAAAAATTTAATGTAATGCTAAGGGGACTCGGGGAGCTGAGCCCCTCTTGTTAATGCCTAAAATTAGCCAATTTCTACTTTTGCTATTGTTTTAGCAACTTTATGTGCACAAGCCCCCCTTGTTAGTTTCATAGTGCTACACCACTGGTTAGCCTGCGCGCAGCGGTCAGCTCCAAACATATAGAATCGCCGAAGGCGCTAGAAGTCCCACTAGTGCGCAGTGCGCAGTGAGGCAAAGTTGTTTTGGCGGCCATTTTAAAAATGTATTACGAAGGCTCAATACCTCGAAGGGTCGAATTTGACAAAAGCAAGGATTGACGTCGTTTACTTTCCGTTCGAACATCGAAATGAAAGTTGGTGAGTGACCTTATAGTGTACATTAATTTGTCAATTTCTCTCAATACTAGATATACAGGGCGCCATTCTCTGTTTCCAAGCATGTACAGCTGTGGTGTTTTTTATCGAAGCTGGTCTTATCGAAATTCCAAGCACTTTAACTTTCATGTTGTTTGTGCAGTTATGCACCGAATTACGCCGATTTCAAAATTTAGCTTTTCCTGTACTTTTCAATTGAATTTTCCGCTGCTCTTTGGAGAGATTTTTTGTAACAGTTTTTTACTTGAGTGGGGCTGGTCCAGTGTATGCCATAGTAAAAAAACATGGCAAATTCACACTCGAGTTTTTTGCAGTTGCTGGTTGCACACTTAACTAATTAGCACACAAAGGCTGGAGGGTAAAATGTTGTTGGGGAAAAATTAAATTTCTCTAATCTTAAGAGCATGGCAATTCTCGACAAGATCTTTTGTGTGCAAGAGCAATTAAAATGTATACATGTGTACAAGCCTCCTGGCATAGTATGCAATGGGTGCACACTATCCAGTCTGCAGAGTGTGGCATGTGCAAAAACGGGTACTGGAAAAATTTTAGGGACCATCATTTTTTGAAACATGTTTTCCTATCTTGGTCTAAACAACATTTTCTTTAAAATTTTCAAATGCTGATGAATTGGGACTTAAGTATTCATAAAACAACTTTAACTTGTGTTGGTCAGCATCAGAACCATCTGATTGTCACAAGTTGAAAAAGTTGCTGTCTATAACTAAATTTGAGAACATGTACCACTTTTGCTATGTGCATATTGTGAGCAGATTGAGTTTCCCTATAGATGATACTCTCCTAATTTGAAAAGGTCTGGCATGCAAATACATTGAATGAAATATGAGGCACAGCTTTCTCAGGGTTGCTTTTAAGGTGAAAATTTTTAAGGGCCACACCCTATAGATTACCACAGAATGGCCCTGAAGTCATCTCGTATCTCAGTATTTTGATTTGATATTTTGAAATGACCTATGCTTGCCCTAAATCCATCGATGCCCAGAGAATCTAACTAGCATATTCCAGTTCTCTGAGAAACTAGAGTCTTTGGTTTATTCTCAATTTCCTAAGCAAGGGCTTGTAAGAAGAGGCCTTGCCGGTTACTGAAAAGGGTTAAAAAAAGGTCTGAATCAAAGAAAGTAAGATTATTTGGGAAGCTAAAGTAGCTGGCTTGTGCTCAAGCATGATTATAGAGCCAAGAATTTACTCTGTAAGGATAATTCTGTGGCCTGAATTATGTTAAAATCAACTTACTGAGTGAACTTTTTAAGGGTTACCTTTCAATCCCACACCCTCACTTAGAAGTTTGACTATCTACAAGGGAGAGGGGTCAAAATAATTGAAATTTAATCATACAAAATATATGATAGATCCAATTTTGTGAAATGCTTGAAAGCCCTTTTGCAGAAATAATTTCATTGCACTCATTGTGAGACAAATTGACAAATACTTTGCCCATTAGAAGCTTATTGCAAACATTGGATCAAAACTGAACAGTGTGCACACATTGCACACTTTGTCAGCACTCTTGCACACATTTATATTTGCTCTTGCACACACAAGATCTTGTCAAGATCTGCCACGCTCTGCAGACTGGCACACTATTCAATTTTGGTCGAATGTGTGCAACAAGCTTCAATGAGCAAAATGCAGCTTAAGCATGGCTCTCACAACCAATATGCAGAGCATGGTGATGGCCCACCCAGGCTACAGGTATTGTTAAGGGTGACCCTAACAGCTAGCTTTATTCCAGGCACTGCATGGCCTTTGAGCTAGCAGGGGCTATAGCCCACCCTCACTTTTTTGCAAAAATGAGTTAGAAAATTTTTGGAAAGCTCCAACAGTTGTAGTAGCCCAGGGTGGAATCCATGTAAAGCTCATGCCAGATATACACCAAAAAAATAATTATGGAAATAGAATTGGAAATAGTTAGTTCATGCCGATTACATCAGGGGTAAACTACATGGATTCCCCACTGGGTAGTAGCAGTTCTTAATGGACAGTATAGGCCCACTTTGCATCCTTAGGCAACTTCCTTGCACCTGCACCTATGGTGCAGGACTGTTGGCACACCCAGTATCTTGTCAAAAACTGTCTTATTCTGTATATAGATCTCATGATATACCTATATATGTAAAGCATTTGTTGCTGCTAAAGTGCTTTGGGGCATTTCAGAAAATTTTGACTGCATGCAGTTTAAGTAGCATCGGGTCACTTACATTTTTTGTTTATAGGTCTAAAATTTATTGTTTGACCCCCCTGTCAACATATCTATAGAGAGTGCAACAGGGGTATACAAATGAGGGTGTAAACCCTGTAAAGTTTCACTCATCCAGTTGATTTTAACATAATTCGGTCCACAGAACGAGGTTTATTGAGTTAATTTTTGACCCTATAATCATGGGTTTTTGTTAACCAATGCATTTTGTAAAAGCATGATCACACAAAGAATTTATCAGTTGGAATTTAAGGGTGGAAATACCAATAGTTTTTAAGGAAGTTTAAATATCAAAGAGCAGTCTCAAATCTTTTTGATGGCACCTCATGAAGTTCTTGCTTGTCATAAGCAGTAACCAAAATGGTAGAATCAGATCAAGAATATTGCCAACAGCATTTGTGAGTTTCTATACAGGTGCATGAAAAAGACAATTTGAAAAAAACTCTGCTCTGAAGAGGTGCATATTTCATTTAAAGATGTCTTTTCTCGCCTCTTTCTTTTTCCTTTGCATTTCAGCACCACTCCACTCTTTGTGCTACCTGCTCAAAACCTTTAACCCTCTGAAACCTAGGGTAGGGCCTGGGATGTAATAGCATCCTAGCATCCTTTTGCAGTTCATTATTGCTTATCAAACATTTATAAGTAACACACTGATCTACTTGACCTTAAGGTGGTTAGATATGATTCATATCTGAAATGGGAAATTTTTTATTCATGGTAATGCCACAAGCCTTTAAAATCTTGCCTGTATTTTTTAGCCATGTACATTTTTTACCACCTTTTTTAGCTTTAGAAAATCGTTTACAGTTTAATATTCTTTTTAATATCAAATATTAAGATTTAGATGATTGATTTTTATGTTTATTTAGAATTTGGAGAAATAAAATTTAAGCAAAGAAACAGAAAAGCAGCTAAAGGTGCAAAAAGATACAAAAAAACAAAAATCATCAACATTACTATATTTTTTGCTGCACTGTCCAATTTTTCTTTTTCTTTGTAACGTAAGTTATTGGTTGAATAGTAGTGGAAGGTGTCAGGGGAGGTCGTAAACGTTATAAGGTCAAGCAAAAAAGCTATAGTCTGAAATAACAAGGACACACATGAAGAAACAGGAGATACCTCTGCCAACAATACCAAGTAGTGAAGTACATTTGTGCTCCAGCGAATAAACGCATTCCATCCCCTCCTTTAGGTTCCATATTCTAGACTATTCCAGGCTATTAAAAAAATTCAAGAAGTGTTTTATTTTGCAGTTTAAATTCTTGCAGATCACTCGAAAGGGTTTTACTTGTTTTAAGAACTTGATAAGTACTTTCAGAGCCCTACTAACAAAATTAAGTTAAATCCACTCTTGCGGCATCAAGATATAAGAAACTAATTTAGAACTTTTGGTAGCAACAGTGTCCCACAATTTGATAAACTACCTAACCATAAAAGTACTTAACTTAAATTTGTACTGGGCCATGCCCGCGAAATAATTTTTTTCAACTTGCTCCAAAAAATAACAATTTGACCTAAAACGACCTAGCAAAATGTAATTAAGTATCCTCTTTTGCCATGTTTTGACAACCTGCTCTAGAAACTTTTCCTTTATTGATCCGTGTTTTTGAGATTCGACATGTCCGAGTTTCCTTCTACAGCATAGGGGAAATTTGATAGCTTGGACCAATAGCGCGGTGGCTCCAAATTTGCTAGGGGGGGGGCGCCCATATTTTTGACACCCCTGGATAACTACTAGGTCGTCTGACGCCCCTGGGTCGACAAAAGTCATAGGAAGTTTAGGACCACAATGTTAAGATTTTTCAGGGGTTTCGCGAAGGCTGGTTGGCGACAACATGGTTGGCGACAAAATATTATAGCATTCTAGGGACAGCGGAAAACTGGATCAAAAATATTTCAAACATTTTGACTGGCGGAAGATCCTGGGCAGTACTATTAAGTTTTTCTATATCAGTATGCCAAATCTCAAGATTGTTAAGGCACTTAGAAAAGACCGGCCACCATTGGAGGCCGTACGGATAATTTTGAAAGTATAACTTTTCCAGAGATGGAGCAACTGCATCTAAAACATATTCAACATCCATTTATACTGAAGGAAAATCCTGAGCAACATTTCATGAGATCCTCTTATCATTATGCCAAAAAAATAGTTATGGGCATTGATAAAGGACACCGCTATGGTTGGTGGCAAGAACAATTGAACAAATTGGATGTTTTGGACGGCCGAAAACTAGTCTTGCAAAAGTTACAATAAACGTTTAGACCCGAGGAAGATCCTAAGAAATTTTCATAAATTTTACTTTATTATAATGCCAAAATCTCAAGATTATTGAAGAGCTTAGTAAAGGCACGGAAAATTTTGAAAATATTCATGGGAGATTCTTGAGAATATTCATAAACTTCTGTTCATAATTTTATCTCAGAGTTCTGAATTTGACCACGACATGACCACGGCAAATTTTAGCAACATGTTTAACAATAAACGTTAGAATATCGACAGAAGAATTATACTACTAAAAATACAAGCCTAATTTTCTTTGTAAAGTTAAGTTATATTTTGTAAAATCTCATCATAAAAGCTTCCCATCTCAGACAGGTCTCATATTAAACCACCTTGAGGTCAAGCAGATCAGCGTGTTACTTACATGATGTGTGGTAAGATGCTACTGCATCCTGGGCCCTATCCTATTTATAATTTGAGAAACAATAAGGAATTTTTTGCTACTACAGATCCGAATATAGAGGGCAGCGTCTTTGGCTCTCTCAACCTTAGCACATAAGGAATGCTCAATCTATCAATGAGATTAAGAATGAAATTATAATGGAATTGCACTGACTGCACATGCAAATTATGTAGGACGTTCATACTACAACTTTTTGTATTTTTGGATTTTTGTAAGACTATCGTCACATTCATAGGTGGATTTCCGGGTTTTAAATAGCTCAGATTTTTATACCACTATGTTTTGAAATTTACTATGCACTTGAAATTTCATGTATTTAATCTTGTATGTATTTATTCAATATATTAGTTTCTACAGTTGGCTTGGATGAGACCTAGTTTACTTCACTGCAAACAGCTACGTAGCGCCAACTTTTAATAAATTGATTATTATTAATATTATAGGTTCCGGAGCGTCAAACGTTTTAACGATGGCAGAGAAGGTAGAATGGGGCTGAAGTGTAGAGGAGAAAAGAAGCAGACGAGGAAAAGATATATTCATATTGAAGTATGCATCTCTTCGAACTCAGCTTTTTCGAATTGTCTTTTTCATGTACGTTTGCTTTAAATTCGCTTTTTCAGAGCTGGATCGCCTTCGGAGTCCCTTGATTCCTGGTTACTAGGGGTTAGGGGTAGGCAGGTGCCCCCAAGTTCCCCTGGCCACCACGACACTTGTTGGAGAACGAAAATTTGGATAATTTTGTTAAAAAGTCCGTGTTTTGGAGTTTGAGCATAAGGCTTTTTTGAAAACTCAGACTTGGAAAATTCGGACTTGGTAATCTCGCACAATCTGTTGCGACAAGTCAGAGATATCCAACAAGTCCGAATTTTCTACCTCACTCTTTTTCATGATAAAATCGAGAGTCATTGACTGCATTGAAAATATAGTCAGTAACAAATGCTTCTCTTACGTTTGCCTTAGCATCTGTAAACTTGTATGAAAGAGTTTAAAAAACTTTGGTCGACCATTATCTTTCAAGATTCTGGGATAGCTGCTGCATTCTAATAATGAAATTTGGTAACTAGACATTAAGCTGCGCAAATTGGAAAAAAGTTAACCGATGAATCGTTATATTAAAATCTCTGTACTAATCAAAACAATGCTGAAATTGACAACTGTTGATAAATTGTTATACCTTTATAGGTTACCGAGAAGATCACATTCAGTATAATTTATGGAGCTGCTGTGAATTTGCACAAACAATAAATATAATGGCGAGAATGCTTGTTTAATAGTATGTTATTATAGGAACTCTTTAAGCCCTCATTGAAGCCCGTTACGCAGACAGCCTACGACTCCTGGCGTTCAATAGTAAGGTTAACCTTGGCAAGATGAAAAGATGTTCCTCCGAGTGGGTCATGGTATCAAAGGAAGCTTTCGCTGCTACAGATTGTGGTGAAAAACTTCGACTCCTCTGTGACTCTCCCTTATCAGGGCTAGCCTTAAATAGAAATGAGGTAGAAGCTCTCTCCTTTTTATGGGGTAGAGTCTCAAGGGAAATTTTTTGTGAAGATTGAACTTTTCGAAGTTTTTCGCTCATCCTGGGTCCCAGATTTTTTGAAAAATGGCTAGGATCGTTTTCTCGAAGTATGCGTAGAAATTCATCCAACACGTCTCAAATTGTGTCGCGAACAAAGTTAATGCATTTTAGGATATTTCGAGCAAAATAACAGGCTGCATCCTTGTAAGGACCTTTTTGGCAAGACCTCGCACTGTGAGAATATTCAGAACTCTAAAAAAACAAATAGAAAGAAAGAATACTGATTAATCGTTGTCTTAAAATAGTTGCACTGAACAAAACGATGCTCAAGTTGAAAACTGATGGTTGATTGTTTTGCTCATTTCATCTAGGTGTCTTAGAAGATCACCTTCAGTGGAATGATTATTGATGCAGCAGAATTTGAACCAACAAACATATAATGGTGAGTGTGCTTGTTTTGTTTTGAATTTTTGAAAAATGACCGGGATATTTTTTTCAAAATATGATCATGTAACGAAATTCACCGAAAACATCTCAAATAGTGTGGCGAACGTAAATTAAGACATTTAAAGCTGTTTTGAGCAAAAAGATTGTCGAGAATTGACAATTTTTGAGTCTTTTGCATATCTTGGTCACAGATTTTTTTTAAAATGACTAGGATCTTTTTCTAAATATATGAGCTTGAAATTCACCAGAAACATCTCAAATTGTGTCGTGAAAAAAAATTAGAGTGGCTGCTTTGAGCAAAAGATAATTTTTCCAAAAATTGCCACTTTTTGACGTTTTTTGCATATCCAGGGTCATGGGCTTTTTTAAAAGTAACTAGGATCTTTTTCTAAATATTCGAGCTTAAAATTCATCCAAGGCACATCAAAAGATGTCAGGATCGTAAATTAAGGTCTTTCAGGCTGTTTCGAGCAAAAGATAATTTTTCCAAAATTGCCACTTTTTCAAGTTTTTTGCATATACAGGGTCACAGGCTTTTTAAAAGTAACTAGGATCTTTTTCTTAATATAGATTGGTTAAAATTCATCCAAAGCACCTCAAAAGATGTCAGGATCGTAAATTAAGGTCTTTCAGGTTGTTTCGAGCAAAAGATAATTTTTCCAAAAATTGCCACTTTTTGACGTTTTTTTGCATTTCCCTTTTTTGCTGTCGATCTTTGACAACGGAATATTCTTTTTTCGAAGACGATAATAAACTTCGAAAACCAACGGTGTCTTATTAGACACGGACTATTTTTTCCATCATCAGAACAAGGATGCTACTCTTATTTTATACCTTAATATAAGAAACACGCTTAAGAAAAAAAAGATTTACATTTGATTCTTGTGGTTATTATTTTCCATTTTACACTCTCAATGATTATCAACTATGGAGTATCGAAACTAAGCGGACAATCAAAGTCTTACTGCCAGCCAATTTTTATTTGCCATGATTTTGGTAAAGCCATAGTTTCATGAATTTCGATCTTGATTTTGTAGGGCTAAAAACACAGCAAAAAACAAGTGATTCTGCCATCGGTCAACATCTTTTAGACAACCCAGATTGTGCAAAACTCTATAATGAAGACATGTTTCAGATAATTGGCAGAGCCCGGTCGTCGTTCCATCTAGCAGTTTTGGAATCAATCTACATACAGACGAAAAAGCCGCCATTGTGTAGACAGAAGGAGCTCGTTTTCTCTTTTGGACTCCAGTGGTAATTTTTCTTTAGGCACGCGGCACTGATTGGTCAACTATACCGGTCTGGTGCTTGCGATTTTCTGATTGGCCTATTTCGATCCACATCTGGGTATGTATTTTTCATCGTGTTCTTTTGGCCCCTATTCTGACATTTTATACCCTGAGGGGTGTCTGTCAGATGAAAAAGCTTTTAGTAGTATGTTGCAAAATGTTTGTTTTTTTCAAAGGTAATGCCTTTTCAAAGCCATTTTCAAGTTCTGTACCGCCCAAAAATTGTTCACGAACATTTCGAATAATGACAAGACCTTCTAATACCCACTTGCATGAACAATTTTGTCAACAATTTGCTCGATTCGATTATGGTAGTGGAAAAAATTCTACTATTTGCCCTCAGCCCCAACACTGCCCCTCTTGCCCTCCTGCCTAAATCTTGTGTAAGCGCCCCTGAGAGTCACAGAATTTTCGGAAAATGTCTAGGAATTTTTTCAAAATATATGAGCCTGAAATTCATCCAAAATACCTCAAATGATATCTTCAACAAAATTTATGGAATTTTAGGTTGCTTTCAGTGAAATATTTTTTTAACTTTGAAAATTTGTTTAGCTTCTTGTAGATTTGATTTCATAGTTTTTTTCAAAGTTCATCTTGTCTGTTTCTTTCAGATATCACTGGGAATCTCACGGAAATATCTTTGAATAACGGCAAAAAGGTATTTTATAGCATTATAAAGTTTTTTAAACATAAAAATATTTGTGTGTTTAGGTTGACAATTTCTAAAGATTTTTATTACCCGGGGTCACATAATTTTTGAAGAATGACTAGGATCCTTTTCTAAATATTTCAGCTTGAATTTCCTTCAAGACATCTCAAATTGTGTCGTGAACATAATATATGCTGTTTTATTTGGTTTTGAGCCAACAAATTTTTTTTCTAAAAAGTGATATTTTTGAAGTTTTTTGCATAGCCGAGGTCACATATTATTTGACAAATGACTAGGATCTTTTTCTATAAATATGAGCTTGCAATTGTTCCAAATCACTTCAAATGTTGTCGGGATTGTAAACTAAGACATTTAGGGTGTTTTGTGCGAAAACTTTTTTCCAAGATTCCCAATTTTTGAAGTTTTTTGCATATCTAGGGTGGCAGATTATTTTGAAAAAACAGTAGCATCTTTTTCGAAACAAGTGAGCTTAAAGTCTGTCAAAACATCTCAAATTTTGTCATGAACATAGATTGACGTATTTTAGGTTGTTTGGAGCAACATATAACTTTTCAGAAAGTTGAATATTTGAAAAATGTCTAGGAATTTTTTCAAAATATATAAGCCTGAAATTCATCCAAAATACCTCAAATGATGTCTTCAACATAGTTTATGGAATCTTAGGTTGCTTTCAGTGAAATATTTTTTAACTTTGACAATTTGTTTAGCTTTTTGTAGATTTGATTTCATACTTTTTTCAAAGTTCATCTTATCTGTTTATTTCAGATATCACTTGGAATCTCACGGAAAAGTCTTTAAATAACGGCAAAAAGGTATTTTATAGCAATATAAAGTTTTTCTAAACATAAAAATATTTGTGTGATTAGGTTGACAATTTTTAAAGTTTTTTTGCATTTCCATTAATGACTAGGTTTTTTTTCTAAATCTACATTAAGTTTTTTCTGTTGTTTTGAGCAAAGATGGTTTTATCAAAAATTGACAATTTTCTTTGAATTTTTTTCAAATCCAGTGTCACTGTTTTTTTTAAAATGTCTAGGAACTCTTCTCAATATTCGAGGTTGGAATTAATCTAAAACACCTCAAATTCTGTCGGAACACAAATAAGGCATTTAAGGTTGTTTCAACATTTTTTGTGAAAATTGAGAATTTTTTGAATATGTTTCAGAATGACTTGGATACTTTTCTCAAAATTTGGCAACAAAATTCATCCAAAACATCCCAAAAAGGGCGGGGAAACTAAATTGAAGCATTTTAAGTTGTTTCGAGCAAAGCAAGTTTTTCTTGACAAGTGGCAACTTTTAACTTTTTCTGCTTATCTTTTTCTGCTTGGTCATAGATTTTTCATAAATGAGTTTTTTCTAAAATAACCTTGAATTTCATCCAAAACATCTCAAATTGTGTTGTGAACAGACAATAAGGTACTTTAGGTTATTTCAAGCGAATAAAGTTTTATTTGAAAAATGACAATTTTGAAGCTTTTGCTTGTACAGAGTCACAGATTGTTATCAAAAATAACTCCAATTTTAAGTCGAGCTTGAAAATCATCCAACGCATCTCAAACAGTGTTCCAATCGTAAACAAACGGATTTAAGATTTATCAGCAAGAAACAGTTTAAAGGAAATGTACAATGCTTATTTCCTAAAAAGTAAGGATATCAGGTTTCAAAAACTTCATCTTTTTGTCGTGAAAAATTTCACTAAAAAAATCTTTATATAGTTAGAATTCGACCTCCAAAGAATCCTGCTTGGCGTCTGTAATTTCTAGAAAAAATAAAGATGGCTGAAAAATAAGAAAAAAAGTAATGTTATCATCTAAAGAATAATATAAAAATTGACTTTCGGAAATTCCGATTTTTCGCGGCAAAATGTTCCTTGAAAACGTTACTGGAAATGTTTGAATTGAACCTCTAGCAAGTCTGTATTGGCCCCTGTCCTTCCTAAAAGCAATATAACTGAAAGAAATGAACGAAAAAAGAACCATGTTTTTCCACAAAAAATTGAGGCTATAGGCTTTGGAAAATTTCGATTTTTTGCCAGAAAATTACCTGCGAAAAATTTACCTAAAATGTTTCAATTGAACCTCTAGCAAGTCTGTATCTGCCCCTGTCCTTCCTAAAAGCAATAAAAGGAACAGAAATGAGAGAAAAAAGAACGATGTTTTTTCATAAAAAAGTAAGGCTATAGGCTTTGAAAAATTTCGATTTTTGGCCAGAAAATTACCTGCGAAAAATTTACCTAAAATGTTTGAATTGAACCTCTAGCAAGTCTGTATTGGCCCCTGTCCTTCCTAGAAGCAATATAACTAAAAGAAATGAACGAAAAAAAACAATGTTTTTTCATAAAAAAGTAAGGCTATAGGCTTTGGAAAAAATCGATTTTTGGCCAGAATATTACCAGCGAAAAACTTACCATAAATGTTTAAATTGAGCCTCTAGCAAGTCTGTATTGGCCCCTGTCCTTCCTAGAAGCAATATAACTAAAAGAAATGAACGAAAAAAAACAATGTTTTTTCATAAAAAAGTAAGGCTATAGGCTTTGGAAAAAATCGATTTTTGGCCAGAATATTACCAGCGAAAAACTTACCATAAATGTTCGAATTGAACCTCTAGCAAGTCTGTATTGGCCACTGTCCTTCCTAAAAGCAATATAACTAAAAGAAATGAGAGAAAAAAAAACAATGTTTTTCCATAAAAAAGTAAGGCTATAGGCTTTGGAAAAAATCAATTTTTGGCCATACCAGTGAAAAATTTACCATAAATGTTTAATTGAACCTCTAGCAAGTCTGTATTGGACCCTGTTTTTCCTAGAAGCAATATAACTAAAATAAAGGAAGAAAAAAAAGAATGTTTTTCCGCAAAAAAGTAAGGCTACAGCTTTGGAAAAAATCGATTTTTGGCCAGAAAATTACCAGTGAAAAATTTACCATAAATGTTTAATTGAACCTCTAGCAAGTCTGTATTGGCCCCTGTCCTTCCTAGAAGCAATATAACTAAAAGAAATGAACGAAAAAAAACAATGTTTTTTCATAAAAAAGTAAGGCTATAGGCTTTGGAAAAAATCGATTTTTGGCCAGAAAATTACCAGCAAAAACTTACCATAAATGTTTGAATTGAGCCTCTAGCAAGTCTGTATTGGCCCCTGTCCTTCCTAGAAGCAATATAACTAAAAGAAATGAACGAAAAAAAACAATGTTTTTCCATCAAAAAGTAAGGCTATAGGCTTTGGAAAAAATCGATTTTTGGCCAGAATATTACCAGCGAAAAACTTACCATAAATGTTTGAATTGAACCTCTAGCAAGTCTGTATTGGCTGCCCCTGTCCCTTCCTAAAAGAAGCAATATAAGGAACAAAATGAGAGAAAAAAGAACGGTGTTTTTCCACAAAAAATTAAGGCTATAGGCTTTGGAAAAATCGATTTTTGCCAGAAAATACCAGCGAAAAATTTACCATAAATGTTGGAATTGAACCTCTAGCAAGTCTGTATTGGCCCTGTCCTTCCTAGAAGCAATATAACTAAAAGAAATGAGAGAAAAAAGAACAATGTTTTTCCACAAAAAAGTAAGGCTATAGGCTTTGGAAAAAATCGATTTTTGGCCAGAATATTACCAGCGAAAAACTTACCATAAATGTTTAAATTGAGCCTCTAGCAAGTCTGTATTGGCCCCTGTCCTTCCTAGAAGCAATATAACTAAAAGAAATGAACAAAAAAAAACAATGTTTTTTCATAAAAAAGTAAGGCTATAGGCTTTGGAAAAAATCGATTTTTGGCCAGAAAATTACCAGCGAAAAACTTACCATAAATGTTTGAATTGAACCTCTAGCAAGTCTGTATTGGCCCCTGTCCTTCCTAGAAGCAATATAACTAAAAGAAATGAACGAAAAAAAACAATGTTTTTCCACAAAAAAGTAAGGCTATAGGCTTTGGAAAAAATCGATTTTTGGCCAGAAAATTACCAGCGAAAAATTTACGATAAATGTTTGAATTGAACCTCTAGCAAGTCTGTATTGACCCCTGTCCTTCCTAGAAGCAATATAACTAAAAGAAATGAGAGAAAAAAGAACGATGTTTTTCCACAAAAAGTAAGGCTATAGGCTTTGGAAAAAATCATTTTTGGCCAGAAAATTACCAGCGAAAAATTTACCATAAATGTTTGAATTGAACCTCTAGCAAGTCTGTATTGGCTCCTGTCCTTCCTAGAAGCAATATAACTAAAAGAAATGAACGAAAAAAAACAATGTTTTTATAAAAAAGTAAGGCTATAGGCTTTGGAAAAAATCGATTTTTGGCCAGAAAATTACCAGCGAAAAATTTACATAAATGTTTAAATTGAACCTCTAGCAAGTCTGTATTGACCCCTGTCCTTCCTAGAAGCAATATAACTAAAAGAAATGAGAGAAAAAAGAACGATGTTTTTCCACAAAAAGTAAGGCTATAGGCTTTGGAAAAAATCAATTTTTGGCCAGAAAATTACCAGCGAAAAATTTACCATAAATGTTTGAATTGAACCTCTAGCAAGTCTGTATTGGCTCCTGTACTTCCTAGAAGCAATATAACTAAAAGAAATGAGAGAAAAAAGAACGATGTTTTCCACAAAAAGTAAGGCTATAGGCTTTGGAAAAACTCGATTTTTGGCCAGAAAATTACCACCGAAAAATTTACCATAAATGTTTCAATTTAACCTTTAGCAGGTCTGTATTGGCCCCTGTCCTTTCTAGAAGCAATATAACTTAAAGAAATGAGAGAAAAAAGAACGGTGTCTTTCCACAAAAAAGTAAGACTATAGGCTTTGGAAAATATCGATTTTTCGCCAGAAAATTACCAGCGAAAAACTTACCATAAATGTTTGAATAGAGCCTCTATCAAGTCTTTATTGGCCCCTGTCCTTTCTAGAAGCAATATAACTAAGAGAAATGAGAGAAAAAAGAACAGTGTTTTTTCACAAAAAAGTAAGGCTATAGGCTTTGGAAAAAATCAATTTTTGGCCAGAAAATTACCACCGAAAAATTTACCATAAATGTTTCAATTTAACCTCTAGCAAGTCTGTATTGGCTCCTGTCCTTCCTAGAAGCAATATAACTAAAAGAAGTCAGAGAAAAAAGAGCGGTTTTTTTCCACAAAAAGTAAGGCTATTGGCTTTGGAAAATTTCAATTTTTTTCTTGAAAAGTACCAGCGGAAAACTTACCATAAATGTTTCAATTGAACCTCTAGCAAGTCTGTATTGGACCCTGTCCTTCCTAAAAGCAATATAACTTAAAGAAATGAGAGAAAAAAGAAACATGTTTTTCCACAAAAAAGTAAGACTATAGCTTTTGGAAAAAATCAATTTTTGGGCAGAAAATTACCAGCGAAAAATTTACGATAAATGTTTGAATTGAACCTTTTAAAGTCTGTATTGACCCCTGTCCTTCCTAGAAGCAATATAACTAAAAGAAATGAGAGAAAAAAGAACGATGTTTTTCCACAAAAAGTAAGGCTATAGGCTTTGGAAAAAATCAATTTTTGGCCAGAAAATTACCAGCGAAAAATTTACCATAAATGTTTGAATTGAACCTCTAGCAAGTCTGTATTGGCTCCTGTCCTTCCTAGAAGCAATATAACTAAAAGAAGTCAGAGAAAAAAGAGCGGTTTTTTTCCACAAAAAGTAAGGCTATTGGCTTTGGAAAATTTCAATTTTTTTCTTGAAAAGTACCAGCGGAAAACTTACCATAAATGTTTCAATTGAACCTCTAGCAAGTCTGTATTGGACCCTGTCCTTCTTAAAAGCAATATAACTTAAAGAAATGAGAGAAAAAAGAAACATGTTTTTCCACAAAAAAGTAAGACTATAGCTTTTGGAAAAAATCAATTTTTGGGCAGAAAATTACCAGCGAAAATTTACCATAAATGGTTGAATCGAGCCTCTAGCAAGTCTGTATTAACCCCTGTCCTTCCTAAAAGCAATATAACTAAAAGAAATGAACGAAAAAAGAAACATGTTTTTCCACAAAAAAGTAAGGCTATAGGCTTTGGAAAATATCGATTTTTCGCCAGAAAAATACCAGCGAAAAATTTACGATAAATGTTTGAATTGAACATCTAGCAAGTCTGTATTGACCCCTGTCCTTCCTAGAAGCAATATAACTAAAAGAAATGAGAGAAAAAAGAACGATGTTTTTCCACAAAAAGTAAGGCTATAGGCTTTGGAAAAAATCTATTTTTGGCCAGAAAATTACCAGCGAAAAATTTACCATAAATGTTTGAATTGAACCTCTAGCAAGTCTGTATTGGCTCCTGTCCTTTCTAGAAGCAATATAACTAAAAGAAATAAACGAAAAAAAACAATGTTGTTTATAAAAAAGTAAGGCTATAGGCTTTGGAAATAATCGATTTTTCGCCAGAAAAATACCAGCGTAAAATTTATCATAAATGTTTAAATTGAACCTCTAGCAAGTCTGTATTGACCCGTGTCCTTCCTAGAAGCAATATAACTAAAAGAAATGAGAGAAAAAAGAACGATGTTTTTCCACAAAAAGTAAGGCTATAGGCTTTGGAAAAAATCAATTTTTGGCCAGAAAATTACCAGCGAAAAATTTACCATAAATGTTTGAATTGAACCTCTAGCAAGTCTGTATTGGCTCCTGTACTTCCTAGAAGCAATATAACTAAAAGAAATGAGAGAAAAAAGAACGATGTTTTCCACAAAAAGTAAGGCTATAGGCTTTGGAAAAACTCGATTTTTGGCCAGAAAATTACCACCGAAAAATTTACCATAAATGTTTCAATTTAACCTTTAGCAGGTCTGTATTGGCCTCTGTCCTTTCTAGAAGCAATATAACTTAAAGAAATGAGAGAAAAAAGAACGGTGTTTTTCCACAAAAAAGTAAGACTATAGGCTTTGGAAAATATCGATTTTTCGCCAGAAAATTACCAGCGAAAAACTTACCATAAATGTTTCAATTGAGCCTCTATCAAAACTTTATTGGCCCCTGTCCTTGCTAGAAGCAATATAACTAAGAGAAATGAGAGAAAAAAGAACGATGTTTTTTTCACAAAAAATTAAGGCTATAGGCTTTGGAAAAACTCGATTTTTGGCCAGAAAATTACCACCGAAAAATTTACCATAAATGTTTCAATTTAACCTCTAGCAAGTCTGTATTGGCTCCTGTCCTTCCTAGAAGCAATATAACTAAAAGAAGTCAGAGAAAAAAGAGCGGTTTTTTTCCACAAAAAGTAAGGCTATTGGCTTTGGAAAATTTCAATTTTTTTCTTGAAAAGTACCAGCGGAAAACTTACCATAAATGTTTCAATTGAACCTCTAGCAAGTCTGTATTGGACCCTGTCCTTCCTAAAAGCAATATAACTTAAAGAAATGAGAGAAAAAAGAAACATGTTTTTCCACAAAAAAGTAAGACTATAGCTTTTGGAAAAAATCAATTTTTGGGCAGAAAATTACCAGCGAAAAGTTTACCATAAATGGTTGAATCGAGCCTCTAGCAAGTCTGTATTAACCCCTGTCCTTCCTAAAAGCAATATAACTAAAAGAAATGAACGAAAAAAGAAACATGTTTTTCCACAAAAAAGTAAGGCTATAGGCTTTGGAAAATATCGATTTTTCGCCAGAAAAATACCAGCG